ATTCCAATGAGATGAAGTCTGTGAAAAGGTTTTTCCAGTGGTTTATATTTATGTTATTGCGGGATTTCCAGTTTACAAAGATGGTTTTCTTGGCGATGGTTAGAGCTATCAAAAGTGTTTTAAAATTTATGGCTTTATCAGTGATCATTGATAGATCCCCTAGCAGGCAGAGGGGGGGGGATAATGGGATGCGGCAGCCCAGCAGGGATGACAGTGACCGTGTGACCTCTTCCCAAAAGTGTTTGATGGGGGTGCAGTTCCAGGTAGCATGAATGTATGTATCGGGACAGTTCTGAGTGCAGTGTGGACATATGTCTGATGTGAAACCCATTTTAGCAAGCCTACTACCGGTGTAGTGTGTTCTGTGCAGTGTCTTGTATTGTATTAATTGAATGTTGGCATTTTTGGACATGTAGGAGATATTTTTACAAATCTGGGACCAGGAGTTAGCATCGGGAGCAATTGACAGGTCATTTTCCCATTTTGTTGTTGGCAAGCATATTATTTTGTCTGAATTTGAGATTGTTTTGTATATTTTAGAGATTAATTTTCTTGCAGATGAGATGTTGAGCAATTCTGATACGGCAGGTGGAGTTTGCAGGTGTGATGATCCAATGTTTATTTTTGTTAGGACTGATTTAAGCTGAAGATATTTCAAAAAATGATTGCTCCCTATGCCAAACTCCTGGGCCAGACGTGGAAACTCTTTGATTGTGTTTGAAGTGAAAATATGGTTCATGTGAGTTATACCTTTTTCGGCCCATGTGCGGAAGTAGAGTGTTTTTTTATTGCTGGTGAAGTCTGGGTTATTCCATAGTGGAGTGAGGTTAGAGGGGGCAAGTGTTGAGTTTGTGATGTGGTGGTATTTCCACCAGGCTGTCAGAGTCGAGGCTATTGTTATTGCTTTAAAGCATGTGTGCTGTTTAATAGATTTGGTGAGAAATGGGATGTCGGCTATATTTAAGTCCTTACAGAATGATTGTTCAGTGTCTAGCCAAATTGTGTCTGATTGCGTGGGGTGGGTCCATTTATATATATATTGTATTTGATTTGCAAGTGAATAATTCAGGAAGTTTGGTGCCTCTAAACCACCATGGGTTTTTTGTTTTTGCAGTGTGGTAAGTTTAATCCTTGGAGTTTTGTTTTTCCAGTAGAATGCAGAGATGATTGAGTCTAGTGATTTAAACCAGTTAAGTGTGGGATGTGTTGGAATCATTGAGAGAAGATAATTTATTTTGGGTAGGATGGTCATCTTAATAACTGCAATTCTTCCAATTATGGAGAGTGGTAGGTTGATCCAGCGGATGAGGTCTTGTTCTATTGTCTTTAATAAGGGTGTGAAGTTTAATGTCATCAGCTCTGACAGCCTGGGGGAGATCTTTATTCCTAGGTAAGTGATGTGACTGGTGCATAGGGGGATGGGGGATTGTTGAGCTGCCACATCCCATTTAGTTTTGGATAGAGGGAGTATAGATGATTTGTTCCAGTTAATTGCATAGTCAGAGATCTTAGAAAATGACTGGATAGTTTTGATGATTTCCTGGACGGTGGTTTGGGGGTCTTGTATAAATAAAAGGATGTCATCGGCGTAAAGGGAAATTTTGTGGGATTGAGACAATTCTATACCTTTAATCTTTTGATTTTGTCGTATAGTGGCTGCAAGTGGTTCTATAAAAATGGTGAATAATAACGGAGAGAGTGGACATCCTTGTCTAGTTCCCCTGTGTAGTGTGAAACTTTGTGAAGTTAGACCATTTGTTGTGACGGTGGCAGACGGTGACGTGTATAAAATCTTGACCCATTGGACAAACGACTCTCCAAAGCCAAATTGTTGTAGCGTGGTGAATAAGAAGTTCCAATTTACTCTGTCAAAAGCTTTTTCGGCATCTAGTGTAGCAATAACCGTGTCCTTCTGATGTAATGTTGTGTGATGTATTAAATTAAATAGTCTGCGGGTGTTGTTGGCTGCGAATCTTCCTTTAATAAAACCAGTTTGATCTGGGTGGATTATGTGAGATATGATGTCCTCCATTCTATGGGCTAATGTTTTGCTTATGATTTTTATGTCTACATTTATAAGTGAAATTGGGCGGTAGTTTGAGGTGAGTGTGTGGTCTTTGTTAGGTTTCGGAATTAGGGTTATTAATGCTGTATTCATGTGGGTTGGGAATTTACCATTTTGTTTTATTTCAGCTATTGCTCTGGTGAATAGGGGGGATAGAGTTGACCAAAAGTGTTTGTAAAGCTCAGCGGGGAAGCCGTCCGGTCCTGGTGCTTTGTTGTTTGGCATTTGTTTCAGTGAGGAGTAAAGTTCTTTCTCAGTGATTGGTGTCTCTAGGGAGTGCATTTGTTCTTGGTTGAGTTTTGGTAAATGGAGATTATTGAAAAAAGTGTCAAGATCTTCTTGTTTTGGCTCAGAATTTGATGAGTATAATTTTTTGTAGTATTCTTGGAATGTTTGATTGATTTCTTGTGGTGAGCTGGTTAGCTTCCCCGCTGAGTCCTGAATAGAGGTTATTGCAGATTTTTCTTTATTCCTTTTAATTTGATTTGCTAAGTATTTTCCGGATGTATTGCTGTGGTGAAAGGTTTCATGTCTAAGCCTGTTTATGAGGAATTGATTTTTTTTGTTTATTATTTCATTAAGCTGTGATTTATATTTCCTTAATTCCTTATTTGTGGTTTCTGATGGATCGCTAGCATTTTTGCTTTCTAACTTTTTTATCTGTTCTTCTAAATACGCTTCCTTCTCCTTTTCCTTTTTATTTTTATAGACTGAAAAAGATATATTTTTCCCCGTAATACAACCTTCCATGTTTCCCAGAGCAATGAGGCTGAGGTCAATGGAGAGTCGTTTGTCCTTAGGAAGGATGCCCACTCTCTTTTAAAATAACTGTCAAACTCTGGATCTGATAACAGGGAGATGTTGAAACGCCATCTAGTGGGGTGTTTCTGGGGGGCAGGAATGTTCCATGTTAAGGTTACTGGAGAGTGGTCACTTATTATGATGGGGTGGATTTTGGAGTCTGTGATATCAGGAATAATAGAGTTACTGATTAAGAAAAAGTCAATGCGGGAGTAAGTTTGGTGGATGTTGGAGTAGAAAGTGTATTCTCTGGTGGTTGGGTGTTGAAGTCTCCAACCATCGCTAAGACCAAAATCACTCATGAAATGTTTTATTGTATTAGAGGATTGCCAGGACTTGCATGTGTGTTTGGATTTGTCTACTGATGAGTTGATAACAGAGTTAAAGTCACCCCCTACTATCATTGGGCAGTGTGAAAAGTTTGAGAGAGCGGAGAAGAAGTTCTGAAAGAATGATGGATCGTCCGTGTTTGGGCCATAAATGTTTCCGATAGTAAGTGGGTTATTATGAATTGAAATATTAATTATAATGAAACGGCCGTCTGGATCAGAGATTGTTGTGTGATGGCTGAATTTGATTTTTTTGTTTATTAATATGCTTACTCCTCTTTGTTTTGAGTTATAATATGAGGCAAATGAGCAGTTGAATTTATTTGTTTTTAAGCTATTATGTGTAGATTGTGTGAGGTGTGTTTCTTGCAGTAAACATATGTCAGGTTGCATTTTATCTAAATAGTTCAAGACCTTCATTCTTTTTGAGTAAGAGCCAACTCCACGGACGTTCCACGTTAAAAAGTTAACTTGCATAGTTGTTTGGCAGACTTCATCCATGCCACTGCTGTGTGCGAGTATGAGTGTATGTGTGTTTGTGTGTGCGTGTGTGAGCGTGTGCATTTGAGGTACAAACAAAACATAGATAGGTAAAAAGACAACACAGGACAGATAACACGAGTATAGTGCATGTACATGTTATAAACAGAGACTTACGTGCGAGGTGCAAGCTAAATATCTGTGTAAGAGACTTACCCAGGAGAAGAGAAGAGAGGAGAGGAGAGGAGGGGGGGGGGGGGGGTAGACTTGAGGTAACCTTAAAAGATGAATGTCTCAGCATTATATACATTTCAGTTTAGTTCAATTTAGAATAACCATGGAGTGACTTCTTTGTCTTTGAATAATTGTCCATCAATGTAAAGTTTGTCTACTGTAATTACTGCTTTTTTACCTTGGGCGATCATTTTCTTGCGGATGGGAAATAGCTGTTTACGTCGGAAGTTGATTTCTTGTGGAAATTGGTCGTTGAGTCCAAAATGTGTCCCTTTTAGCTGTCTGCCTTGTCGTTGTATGAGCTCCTTTTGTTTGTAATGTTCGAATTTTACGATGATTGGCCGGGGTCGGGTGGGCGCGGGGAGTTTGGATCCTAGACGGTGGACGCGGTGAAAGGTGATGTGCTCTACAGTTTCTGAGGGGAGTTTTAGATGATTCACCATGAAGTCCTTAACAGCCTTTTCGGGGTTGTCGGGGGTGGAGGATGGTTCAGAGATGCCGGTAAATATCATATTGTCTCTCATACTGCGTGACTGTATATCCAATATGGTTTCCTTCAATGTTTTCAGCTCAGCGGAGGTGGAGGAGAGTTGGGTGGAAGTAGATGAGAGTTGAGAGCTGAGTGAGGCAACTGTAGTTTTGAGTGAGTTATTTTCTTTAGTGAGTGATTCGAGTTGTTGGTAATTGAATTCAAGGCTCTGGCGGAGGTTTTGGAATTCTTTGTGAAGAACTTCGATGAGGGAAAGTCTGGTGTCCAGGTTCGATAGTTTTTCGTTTATGGATATGAGGATGTTGGTGATTTCAGAATCCGGGGGGGCTTTACAGGGAGAAGTTTGTGGAGATGACTCGGCCGAGGCATTGGCTGAGGAGCTTATGTGGCGGCGTTTTTTAGTTTTACCATTCGGCATTGCGCAGAGTCTGTTGTAAGATTCGTCTATAAAATCTTGCAGGTGGTCGAGATCCGAGTTATAATCCAGTTTGTATTGAGGGAGGTATCAGATGTGGAAAAAACGGCAGGAAAGAAGAACAAGAAGCGGGAGAAAAAGTTTTGTTATCCTAGCAGCAGCGCGCCGCCATGTTGATTCACGCACCGTCTCGCGAGAACTCCGTAGCACTCAGGCAGACATGCTCCAGCAGAGTGGGAGTGCAGTCCCACTCTGCTGGCCCTAGGGACCTGCTGGCTCAGGGGAGAATGCACGTTAAACAAGTGCATTTCCAAACGTCTTTTCCGTTTGTTCTCCACGAAGCAGCTGCTGGAATGCATCAGACCCAGAGACTGGATTTCTTCCATAGATCTGACGGATGCTTACTTTCACATAGCGATAGTGCCAGAACACAGACGGTTCCTGCGCTTCACAGTGGCGGGAAGGTATTGCCGACTCACGTTCGGGTACGCACTGGCTCCGCGCACCTTCTCCAAGTGCGTGGGGGCGGCCCTGGAGCCGCTCCGACGCGCAGGGGTCAGGATTTTAATCCATCCAGCTCTGAGGAACTGCTCTGATTGGTCAGAGTGCGGCCGAGCCCCTCTGTGCACGTGCGTGAGACCCGGTGTGAGACCCACACACGCGTGTTTGGCGCCACGCATTATGGGAGATCATCCACTGCGCAGAACCGGGAGGACCAGACGATGCCCAAATACAGGCGAGTTTCCCATAGATCTTTGCGAGTTTCCCATAGATCTTTGCGAGTTCCAGGCGACTTCCGCTAATCTTTCAGCCCCCATGCCGTCACAAAGCGCCACTGAGCACAACCATTCATTTGAATAGGGCGCCATCTTGGATCGCCAGGGCTTACACGGAGCAAAAGAGTTTGAGATTAATCTCAAAATATTTTGGACCCTGGGAGGAGATCCAGCGCTGAGACTAATGCAAACCGAGGAGAGACTGGAGTGACCAGCACACAGAAACCAGCGCAGACCTAGGAGAGACCGCATAGACCTGACTGGAGCCAGCGCGGACCGAGGAGAGACCGTAGACTGAAGAGACCTGACTGGAAAGACAGGTGCGCAGAGACCAGCGGGGACTGAAGAGAGACCGCATGGACCAGACTGGAGAGACCAGCGCGGACCCGTAAGGATCCAGGAGCGTGCAGCACAGACCCGTATGGAGAGACCAGTGCAGACCCGTCTAGAGCCATGGGAGAGACCAGTGCAGACCCGTATAGATCCATGGGAGAGACCAGTGCAGAGACTCAGCGCGGACCCCGCAACCTCCTGCAGCAGCAGTATATATTCCATTGTTCTGTGGCCTGTGGATAAAGAAATGCCCCCTATAAATAGGATGGGGTCACTAATACACGCCAAGATTTCCAATGTATTTGATAAAGCGTTGGCACCTTTCATTTCAAAATGAATAAAAAAATAGGCTAAATTACCATTAACAATTAAATAAATAAATACATACATCAATATGACGGACATGTACAGTAATGTTGTGTTTTATTGAACTTCATAACACCAGCCTGCGAACATGTCGGCACTGAATGTGCGTACGAGTGCTCCTGAGCATTCGTAGGATTTGTACGTACCCAAGAGAAATTCTGGTTACGAGAAAATGTCATGAATGCCACAATCTTCGTAAAATCTTCGTAAGTAGGATTTACGCACAAATTTGTTCTTAAGTACGGTTCGTGAATGAGGCCCAATGTGTATCTGGAATTTTTAGATCTTTAAGTCCATCTCATGGAAAATGGGAGCAAAAACAAAAGTGTTGTGTTTATATTTTTGTTGAGTATAGTTTTAAAACGAGCCATTTGATCCATGATGGTTGTACAGTGACTATTAACAGAGCACATGAACCCATCCATTTCATTTCGGTGCAGGCATCAACAACAGAGGGGTCAAAGCTTTCAAAGAACCTTTCTGCAGTTGATTCTGTTATATCGTATTTCTTCTTTACTTTTCATCCTATTTTTTTTTTGGCCCAAAAACACCATAGTTTCTAATTCTTGTGTTGCTGTCAATCATGTCTTTTGAAAATAGTTAAGGCTGGATGTTCCATGGTTTTTTTTTAATTAGTCATGATGATTCCTAAATTTCCACTACTTCTGAATTGTAATGGAGATTTAAAGTGCTGCTCCTGGTGTCAGTTGTGGCTGATACATATGTAGACTACATGACCAGACTCAACCATGCAAATCAGTCAAATGACTTTTTGTACAAAACACAATCATGCTTTCAATAGCCTCTTTCCATTAAATAATTGTAGATTTTTTTTACATGGGATGTTCCAACGTACGGAAGCTCATGTGTTTGTGAACTTCCGTATCTGGTGAGTGTATTTTGAATGACTACTTCGCTGCTCTCCGTACACACTAAATTTGATAATCCATGTAGAGGAGGATCTTTGTTTACACCCGCATGCGCCCCTCGCTGAGTGGCAAAAAGACAGAGCGGCATATACTGAAGCATGGATGCGACGAGTACTTTTAGAAGACTCAGTGGGCGATATGCACTATATATAAACACTTTAAACCAGAGGTGTGAAGGCCTATCCAGGTCAATGGAGTGAAGCTTGTCTATAAGCAAATAATAAATGTCACCCTATTTGTGAAGGGGGATCACTTTTGCACATTTCCAGGCAGAGGGAACTTCACAAGTGTTAAAGGATAAGTTGAAAAGATCTGCCAGAGGAAAGCACAGAGCATGGGAGGCCATTTTGATGAACTTGGCCTCAATGCCGTCTGTGCCGGCACTGCACAGATAGCCCATTTAAGATCTGTTCTACTGCAGCAGGGCTTTTGTCTGATGGAGAAACTGCTCCCACATGGACCAGAATTGGAAGAAACAGAAAAATGAGCAAGAGACTTGGATGAGGCAAATGAGTAAAATGTTGATTGAAAGCTGTGGCATTATTGTTTGCATAATTTGTGAATACATTATTGATGAGCCTATTGTTGGACGCAGAGTTTGATTTAACTGAAAAATTGTTTGTATGCTTCCAAAGCATTAATATAAATAAAGTTATTAAAAAAGTTATAAACCAAGCAACTAAAACAGTGTATTTCCAACCGCGCAACATCGTCAAAATCAGCAATATCCTTGGCAAAAGTAACGTCATGTCATGTCATTGTCTTCCCCTTTATTAATCCATTTCTGGGTTGGGGGGGTGGCCATTAGAGCTGCCACCCAAGTCTCTTAGCCCGTCATCGACGAGATGGCCTTGGCCGTCATGATTCTCATGTATAAGAGATAACAGCATGTGACGTAGGGGAGGAAAGTCATTCTACAATTTGAAGTCCCTGGACTCGCATGCTTGTGTCCTGTAAAGTCTGAGCCCTGGTTCAAAGCCCTACTTGGGTCTGTGCTTGTCTCACGTAATCATTGCTTTTGCTGCCCAACTGGGGAAACTGTCTTTCCCAGGCGCTGTCTCACTTGATTTAGCGGCACAGTACTCCCCATCAAAGGTTTGTATTTACTGGCGGCTCGTGCCTTTTTCTGCAGGCACCACCTAAGCAGAAATTGGCAGATGCACCTTATCCATAATCCCCAGGCCACATCTCTCACGGTTTCCCTGTGCGGTTCACATGCAGCTGGGCCAGTCTTGTGTCTCATTTAACCCTGCTTGCCCAGGCCCTCTTCGGGGCCGGGCCCTTGTTGTGCTCTTAAGTTTTGGCGGTCCAGAGATCTCATTTCAAACATCAATCTTCCTGGGTAATTCATTCATGCGTCTCAACGTCACTTTCTATTCTTTCTAGTCAAGTGGAATCCAGCTTGGTGAACATCAACGCTCTACCCGCTAGAAGTTTTCTGCCTTCCTCTACTCCATCTTTTTCTCGGGACATCAGTATCACGGTGTGAGATTTCATAACACTTTGAAGCAACTTTTGTTAAGGTTAAACTCATCATTCTATCAATGTGCAGAAGCCAGTACTTTTTCCTTGTTTTGATTTCTGAAGGCCAAGCTACATGGCACCGTGGAAGCTGCTGATTGGAGGACTGCATTCCTCCATGCTGTATAATACACTTGCTGTCGTAACATCCCTTGTTCATGTGGCTTTGTTCGTGCTGTCTCTACCATCGACAATAAAACATGTCTTCTGTCTGAATGAAAGACGCGATCCCAGACTTTGTCATCTTCTTCAACGGGCACCTCTGTTACCGCCTCATCTCCATGGCGTTGCTGGAACTTATCTGCTGCCTCATCATCTCACACCTGGGTCCTGGTTTAGATGCCCAACTAAAATCAGTGCTCACATCTTGTAATCTATCTACCAATTACCACAATATGTACCTGTAATACTATTGCCCACTCAAACATCTCCCCTAGGGGCAGACATGGGGCATAACTGCTGAGCAAGAGGATAGATAGTTGTGTTAACACATTTAAAATAAATATTTTAGTATTTGAATATTATGTTGATCGAAAAGGCATACATGTTGTATTTGTAACTGGGGTTCTCAATTGTCATCGACATTTAGTGAAAAAAACCTCAGTTAAACGTGTTCTGACAGCGCACCCTCAGGATAAAGCACAGAAGTATGGATATGCTCACTATCAGGAAAGAACTGATAGCAGTGTTAAGAGCCAACCGAAACTCAGGCAGCCACCTGTCCCAGTCTTGGTGCTGGTTCCCAACATAAGAGGCAATCATGGTCTTGAGGGTGCGATTAACTCTCTCTGTCATGTTGGTTTGGGGGTGATAGGCTGTAGTGAGTTTTTGGGTGACGCCCCAGGTTTCACACAGTTGGGCCAACAGATGGCTTGTGAACTGAGGGGCTCGGTCAGACACCATGAACTTCGGCACTCCCCAGCGGGTGAAAATCTCATCTTTCAGGACCTTGCAAACTTTGGGGGTTTTGGCATCCTTCAAAGCAAACACCTCGACCCATCTGCTGTAGTAGTCCACAACTACCATTAGCACAGAGTTGCGGTCTTTGCTGAGTGGGAATGGTCCCATGAAGTCCACACCGATCATTTCCCCCGGAACCTTGACCTCAGTAGACTGCAGGAGCCCGGCCGGCTTTCCAAGGGAACATTTGTACTGCTGGCAAATAGTGCACGTACGGACGTGTTGCCAGACGTCGTTGCGGACAGATGGCCACCAGGCCACCTGGAGGATCTTCAAAAGGGTTTTCATCCTGCCCAGATGTCCACCAAATGGACTGTGGTGATAGTACAACAGGAACTGGGGCACCAACGCGGCCGGAACCACCACTTGGTAATTAAAACCTCCGTACTTGGAAGGTACGCCTCTGTACCACACGTCCTGTTGGAGTTGGTAATTGGATGCGACCCGGGCTTGCTTGGCGGTCAGACGGCCCGAGCTCTTGACAGGAAGGGTCCGCCTCTTGGGCCTTAGCAATCTCCTGCAGGGAACAAGGGATGTCTGACCAATATGTTTTTGGCACAGTCAGGCAAAACCTGTCCAGCTTGGGGAATGGGGGCACGTGAGAGGGGCATCAGGGACCACGTTTTGCAGCATCCTTTTTTGTAGTGGACTCTGAAGGTAAACGCTTGAAGACGTAATGTCCAGCGGGTGAGGCGCGAGGATGTCTTGGGGCAGTTGAACGCCCAGGCCAGGGCACTTGTGGTCAGTGTACACGTCAAATGTGGTGCCCTCAAGGAAGTGCTTCCACTTCTATTCTATCCACGTTCTATTGCCCACACGACCGCCAAGCATTCTTTCTCAGCGGTGGAATATCGGACCTCGGCGCCCTGAAGAGCTCGGGATGCAAACGCCACAGGACGCTCCTCACCGTCGATTTCTTGTGTGAGAATGGCTCCCACTCCCACATCACTGGCATCACAGTGGACTTGGAAACCGAGCTGAGGTTGTGGCTGGGCTAGGACTGGTGGTGATTGAACCAGGACCTTGAGTCGGTCGAAGGCACTCTGACACTCCGCAGACCACTCCCATTGCACATCTTTTTTTTTTAGATGGTTCAGGGGTGCAGCAATGTCAGCGAATCGCGGAATGAACTTGTGGTACCATCCGACCATACCCAGGAATCGTTGGAGACCTTTTATCCCTGTCGGTGGAGGGAACTCCATGATAGCCGACACCTTGGTGGGATCCACCTCTACTCCCTTTTCTGAGACAAGGTGGCCGAGAAAGGTGAGCTGGCGCTGAAACAAACAGCATTTTTTTACGTTGAGCGTCAGGTTTGCATGGTGGAGCTTGGCAAACACTGCATCAAGGTCATGGAGGTGCTGTTCTTCCGTTTTGGAAAAGACTATAATGTCATCAATGTATACGAAACAGACTTTTCCCCTCAACTCGCCTAGGACGATCTCCATCAGTCGCTGGAACGTAGCCCCAGCGTTGCGCAGACCGAAAGGCATGACCTTAAACTGAAACAAGCCCAGATGGGTGGTCATGGCTGTTTTGAGCTTGCTCTCATCGTCCATAGCAACCTGCCAGTACCCACTCTTTAAATCCAGGGAGCTAAAGTACTGAGCGCCTTCCAGGGACTCTAGAATCTCATGAATCAGGGGCATGGGATACGCATCATGCCTCGTCTTTTCATTTAAGCCCCTGTAGTCCACGCAGAATCGTGGAGTTCCATCCTTTCTCGGAGTGAGGACCACTGGAGAGGACCAAGGGATGCGGATGGCTCGATGACACCATTGTCAAGCATTTTTTGGACTTGTTCTTCGATAACAGCTTGCTTATGGGCCGATACTCTGTAGGCTCTTTTCCGCACTGGTACTTCATCGGTGGTTATTATCTTGTGCTTTATAACTTGTGTGGCTCCAGTAGCCTCAGTCCAGACATTGGACCACTTCTGCAGCAGTGGCCGCACCACCTCTGGCTGAGCCTGCAGGAGGGGAATGACAGTGTGGGTTTGTTCGGCAACGTAAAAGTTTCACTGAAGGTGGCTTGTGACTCCAGTGCAGCGTTGCTCTTACTTTGGGGGGAGAAACGCGTACTCTTTGCCACCCGGCATTATGTAACGTCTACAATGTGGCTTCAGAGTTACTTGGCACATGGACATAAAGTCGAGTCCCAAGAGAAGTGGCATGCAGAGGTTGTCGTCAGCAAGAACGTGGACTCCGAGCATGCCATGGAAATCGTGGAGACAAAAGAGCAAGGTGGCTTTCCCAAGAGCCTTGTTCTCTTGACCATTGGCCATTACGAACTTTGGGATTTCACTCGACGCTAGAATCTCTCCGTCCTTCTTGATGGCCTTCCATAGTGAGTGCTCATGAGGGAGTAAGTGCATCCCGAATCGAGTACCGCATCGCCTTTGGAACCGCGAAGGTAGAACCGGCACGACAAGGAGAGACGGCTCGCCCAAAGCTGTAGCGACGTCGCCACCGGAGCTCCGGTTTGGACCATGGTCGTTCTTTTTGCCCACCCTTTTAGGAGGATGTGACTGCTGAACACTGCTCCAATAGTCCTTTGTGTTGCTCCAGTCTTTCTCAATAAGAGATCCCACCTTCACCAGCTGTTCAACGGACGGGTAACTGTGCCTCGCAGCCCGCTAGCCAGCCTAGGGTTACAAGCATTAAGGATGCGACGCACCATGTCGGCCTCCGTCATATCTGGTCTCCACTTTAGACAGAGAGCTCGATGGTCGTACGCAAAATCTCTCAGGCATTGGCCTGGGGCCTGCACATTGGTCCTGAGCTGATCCTCAATCTCCGCCTGATAGTCCATGGGGTAAGAACGCCTCTAGGAAGGACTTCCTAAAGTCCGTCCAGTTGCAGATTTTACTGCGGGCGGCCAACCACCAACTGCGTGCAGGGCCCTTTAAAACTGTGTTGAGCGTTCCCCATCAGCTCTTATGTCACTCAGTGGTCTGAGGGTTAAAAAGTTCTCACACTGCACAACAAAGTCCGTGACGTCAGAAGAATTTCGCGACTCTCCGAACTGAGGAAACTCCATTCTAATGGGGGGTCTGGCTGCGGCTGGTGTGTACTGTGGGACAGGTCTCGTCTGCGCTTAGTCGCCGGTGTGAAGAATGTGCAGGGATGGAAGGCGTAGAATAAACTAACGGGTCCCCAGGACATCCGGGACTTTTGATTTTGTCTAAGAGTGACATGATAAGAAGGATGCAGTACCGGTGGGGGTGGTCATCTGTAACAATTTGCCTAACTTTTCAAGACACCAGAGCTACAACGCTTTAAAAGGGTCGCGAGAGGAGATGTCACATCAGCAGGGGTGAAATAAGCACAGATACCGCACATGCATTTGGCACAAGACTGGCTAGTTATTACTGATCCCAGTCAACTTACACTGCGCCAACACCCCCCCCACGCTCGAGCGCGACCCCACACAACAAAACATAATACGGATCACAAACAGCCACTAAGAACTCAATATGTGGAAACAAAAGGAAAGAGTCAGTGTCAGTGGTGAAGCCACGGTGTACTCACGGCCCCGCGCATGCACCAAGGTTCACAAAACCGGGACTTGGAGCCCACCAGCAACCATGGAGAGATAATCCACAGTCTCGATTGATCCCTCTGCACACGGTAATCCAAAACGTCACGGGTAATGCAAAAGAAACGATCCTCCAACAGAGACTATAATCCACAAAAACTCCAGGTAGAGGTGCTGGCCTGACTCCAAGTCGGCGTCTGACGTCAGAACACGCGCGCACCCCGCGCTCGTGCCCGTCACTCCTAAATAGAGTCCCCTTGCGCGCCACCAATGGCAAAACAATAATAGCACCAGTACCTGGAGACTGATGAAACAAAACAAAAACACAGACCTGGTACACAAAATTGGTTGGAAAATACAGAATGTCACCCCTCCTGAGTGACACTAAGGTAAGGACCTATGCGGGCGTTACATGCTAACTATAAAGATCGAATTAGAAAAGAACTAGAGACGACTCTGGGAGAGAGGAGGCAGAAGCGATATGTACCTTTGGTATGCACCATGTATTAATAAATTATATACAGTGGACAGTGAGCGACAATATGAACAGTGAGAAACAGTGAATGGCCATTCATTACTGATGCAATACTCGAGCAATAATATTTACAGTACAGAAAATAAACAATGTTCCAGTAGACTTAGATGTTTAAGTACTCTTGGTATTCAAGTAACTCTTGTGTGCAACAGACGCGTCACTTTAAGGTCAGTAAAGTGCGAGTGCATCAAAGTCCAAAGTCTCAACACAGAAATACCAGAGTTGGGATTCTCCAACACTGATTGCGATCGATGGATTTCGGAAGGAATGGGTAGTGTCCAAGGAGGAGTGTTGAGATAGGATTCAGTTCAAAGGATCACCATACAGTGCTGTGTGCAAAGTTCGGATTTAGGCTGCGGGAGGCCTCCCTACCAGCACCAGGACCAGTTGTGGAGGCGGAGCTCCATCAGGGTCCAGAATCAGAGAGGTTCAGTTCCAGTGGACAATATAAGGGCATCAAAATGCCTAGGAACAACTAGGACCAAGTTGGTTACATTTGTAAAATACAATTGCTCCTGATAACAAAAGCAGACAACATATTACACATTATACAGGAACAGTAATATAAATAATCATTAAGTATCAATCTATAAGTTGTCTTATTTCAAGAAAAAGTTACTGACTCTTAGCGACACACTGGCTGCAAAATGAACAAACACCACAGTTACACTCGTAACAATAACTATTTATACAGGAACAGTAAAATGAAAAGACTTGGCCTTGGCAAAACCACAATGCTAACTTTACAATGAAAGTCAATGGGAAATGCTAAGCTAACGAACTCAATACAAATTAATGGGGAACTCTGAAGTTAGCACAACTCACCAATTCCCGCGTGTAAACTCTAGCATACGCGGCGGTTTTTGCAACAAATGACAGAAAGGCAGTCGGCTCCTGCATGTTAAATGAATCAAAGTAAGTTTTGTGACAGTTAATGATGATTTGGATGGTTAAAAGAGTTACCGTACCCGCAGCCCATCCAAGCACGCTCTGCTCTTGCAAGTACTGAACACTTCCGGCATAGCAGCTATATTGAACACTGATTGGGTGAACGTCGCGTCGAACGCAGTGACGTCATGCTCAAAGATAAAACCCAACGCAAGATAATACAGTTTGATCAGTTTGTCAATTTGACACCTGGAGTGGGTGTTAGAGTGTGTGTTAGAGTTTGTGTTAGAGTTGGTGTTAGAGTGTGTGTAGAGTTTGGGTTAGTGTGTGTGTTAGAGTTTGTGTTAGAGTGTGTGTTATGAGTGTTGAGTTAGAGTGTGTGTTAGAGTTTGTGTTAGAGTGTGTGTTAGTTTGTGTTAGAGTTTGTTGTTAGCTTGAGTGTGTGTTAGAGTTTGTGTTAGAGTGTGGGTTAGAGTGTGTGTTTAGAGTGTGTGTTAGAGGTTGTGTTAGAGTTTGTGGGGTAGAGTGTGTGTTAGAGTTTGTGTTAGGTGTGTGTTGAGTTTGTGTAGAGTGTGTGTTAGAGTTTGTGTTAGAGTTTGTGTTAGAGTGTGTGTTAGAGTTTGTGTTAGTTTGTGTGTTAGAGTTTGTGTTTAAATGGGTGTGTGTTAGAGTTTGTGTTAGAGTGTGTGTTAGAGTTTGTGTGGTGTGTGTTAGATTTGTGTTAGAGTTTGTGTTAAGTTTGTGTGGATGATGAGAGGCGTGATGTTGTCAGAATGTGGCAGCTGCGTTTGGGAGAAACCAAAACACTTGGTGTTTGAAACGACGGGGGCGTCACCGACAGATGTTCAATAAGTGAAACAGTTGTTTTGGAAAGTTTTCCTCACATTTAGTGTTTTGGAGATTTCTCATGAGCCCATTTCCACCAGCCTACTCTACTCTACTCTACTCTCTCTCTACTCTACTTACTCTACTTACTCTACTTCTACTCTCACTCTAGAACATGTTGCTCCTTGAGGGGTATTCAGATTGGTCGTCAGTGTGTGATTTAATCGAAATCTGATCAAGGCAATGTATTTGTCTATAAAATTCCCGAGTTACCGCTGGAGCCTGGACCCCTGTTCATCAGCCCACGGCAAAAATGAATTAAAATTTGGCTTTTATTGTGGTGGGCCCACAGTCCCTCCTGTGTGGGCCCCACCACAATACCAAAATTTTAATTCATTTTGCCGTGGGGCTGATGAACAGGGGTCAGCTCCAGCGGTTACTTGGAAGTTTTAGACAAAATAAATTCCTCTTGAGCGGATTTTTAGATTAAATCTCACACTGCGACTTCATTCTGATACCCCTCAAGGAGCAACATGTCTAGAGTGGAGAGTAGTGAGTAGGGTAGAAATTGGTAGGAGTAGAGTAGAGTAGCAGTAGAGTAGGGTTAGTGAGATAGCGTAGGGCTGGTGGAATTGGGGCTCATGAGAAAATCTCCAAAACAATAAAGGTGAGTAAACTGTCCAAAACAACTGTTGGTAACTTTATTGAACATCTGTCCCGGTGACGCCGCAGTCGGTTTCAACACCACTTTGTTTTGGATTTCGCCCATACGCAGCTGCACATTGGACGCCTATCTCATCCACAACAAACGGCTACAAAATACTCTAACACAAAACTCTAACACACACTCTAACACAAAACTCTAACCACCACACAGCTAACACAATACTCTGTTACACTCATCTAACACAAACGCGATCCACTCACGCGTAACACAATCGTAACTCACACTCAACACATACGTCTAACTAAAACGCGAACCACACACTCGAAATCACAATCGTCGATCACACCACTCTATACACATTCTCTAACACCACTTAATCTCAAACTCTAACACAAAAACTCTATACACACACTCGTAACTACAGGAACACACACTACTAACACAAACTCGAACAACACTCTAACTCTAACTTTTACACAAAGGAGTAAACACACACTCTAAACTCAACAAACGTCTAACATCACACTCTAACACAAACTGTAACACACACTCTAACACAAACTCGTATCACACTCTTACACATAAATCCAACTCACACTAGGAACTCAAACGGACACAAACTCGAACACACTCTGAACACACCACACTAATCACAAACTCTTACAAACACTCTAAACAAACTTCTAACATCAAACGATGAACTCAATCTCTAACACACACGCTAACACAACGATCACAAACTATTAACACACATTTCTAACACACACTCTAACACAAGACTAACACACACTCTAACACACACTATAAACACAAATATACCACAACTCTAACACACTCTCTAATCACAAACTCTAACTCATACTCGAACACAAACTCGAACACAAACTCTAACACTAAACCTTAACACACCTTAACACACACTCTAACCAACAGCGAACACAAAACTCGTATAACATTCTAACACACACTCTAACACACACGCTACACATAACTCTAAACTCCACACTCTAACTCATACGCGAACACACTCTAACACTAAACTCTTAACACACACTTAACCACAATCTCTATCTACACACTGCGAATAACAAAACTCTAACACACTTCTAACACAATACTCTAATACACAAAACGCAAAACAACACTCTGCTATCTCAAACTCTAACACACACTCTAACAAAACTAACACCTCACTCTAACTACAAATCAAACACAATACTCGAAACAACACTTAAACACACACTCGAACACACATCTTATCACAAACTCTAACACACACTCTAACACATACTCTAACCAGTCAAACTCTAACACCACACTCTAACACAAAACTCGAACACACCTCTAACCAACAAACTC